CTTTAGTTTGAAAGTGTGATATTAAATGCTTTTCACCATAAACGGCGCCAATTTTCAATGATTATTGCGTTTCAGATTAAATCTAATACCAGATATCGTGAAAGGTTGGACTATACCTTAAAGATGACGGTTTTCTCATTGCCCACTGCACGAAGCTTAGAGTAGAGTAATGTCTTTTAAGAACTTAAAAATTATCCTGAAACGATNTTTCACCATAAACGGCGCCAATTTTCAATGATTATTGCGTTTCAGATTAAGACTAATACCAGATATTGTGAAAGGTTGGACTATACCTTAAAGATGACGGTTTTCTCATTGCCCACTGCACGAAGCTTAGAGTAGAGTAATGTCTTTTAAGAACTTAAAAATTATCCTGGGTTATCAGGTGTCTAGCAATACAAGATTAATTTCACGAAATTCTTTAAATAAATTTTGAGCTAAGAACTCACCCACATTTCGGGGGTTACTACTAGTTTTAATAAATTGTTAGTTTAATTTCCTATAAAATTTACCTTAAAGTTTATGCATTTTAAGAATACATCGAAAATTTGTTTTAGAGAATCAATGTGAAATAATTGCAGAAACGATTAACCGGTTTCCTTAGCAACCGAGACGTCTGCTTTTTAAATAATTTTTGTAAAACAAATCGGCAAGTACATATCGTCCCCTGCATGCCAGAAACATGAATGTGTAAAGATGAAAATTTTGGGATTTTTTTATATGTTGGGCCCCCCCTAAATTCGATCCTGGCGACGCCCATGTGTGGGTATTTGGATGTCGTTGCCATTTGAACCAGAGCCCATGTTGGCAATATCGACATCCATGGCCACCGGGTTGATGAGAAGGCCGTTTGGATCAAAGTCCATTTCGTCCATTACAGCGTCCCGAGAGGGTTGAGCGCCTTGGCCGTTTGGATTTGCACCCAGTTCGGCCGCTGCGATCGCCAATTGTTCAGCAATCTCGTTGGGCATCGCGTGCACCTCTGAGACTGCTGACTGTTGCCCACTGTTAGAGGGCACAGAGATTTTATTGTTTTTTTTATTAATTTGTGTTTCTTCCATAGAATGCCCCGAGTAAGGGGGAAGAGAGAGGTCATCCGAGGCAGAGCCCCGTGACCCAGCGAAACGCCGGGCCACGTATAACTTGTTTTTGACCGATATAACATTTCCCGTTGGTTTCATCCCATCCCGATTTTGACTGTCGCATAGTGTAATTAGTGTTAAATTTTTCGAGTATTAATTAAAGGAGAAATAAATACATAAATATTTAAAATTTACGATCATAAATTTTAATGCATTTTTCATTAAATGTTATTAAAAGTAAAAGCTTTCAGGTACAAAAAATTCAGTGAAACCCGCTTAAGTAAGTTTGAAATTTTGATGAATTTTTTTTGTAAGTGTTTTTCAAAATCTTAAGCTTAGGTTTATATGGTAAGGGAATTGACTACATTTTAATTGAAAAATCGTAAAAATTAATAAATAAACAGAAGTGGCAAAGAATATTATTCTGAAATTGATCCAAAATGATATGTCCAACACTGTTTGTATGAATGTATAAATATGTATAATCAATGAAATTTTAAAGAACTTAACTCTTGTAAAAATTAAATACTTTGCTTTATCTATTTTCTAATAAAGTTTTCTTTGTTTGTTTATCTGTTTAAATAATGTTACGATCTTGGTTTTAAGCTTCGTATTCTTAATTAAATGTTCATGTTTTAATCAAGGATTTACATACATACAAATGCAAGTTAACAAGAAGGTGTAACTACACCAATAATGGTGTTCGCTTAAGTACCTGCAACGAGGTACTTAAGCGGGTTATTTTAAGTACCCAACTCGTCTAAGTACCTCAAAAAGCTGACATTTTTCGTGAGGTACTTAAGCGGGTTTTACTGTACTATATTTTTCATCTTTTTTAATAATATTTAATTTAGTTAAAAATAAATACTTTAGTTCATTTTCGAGTTAACTTAAATAAAAATAAAACTTTTCATTAAATTAAATTAAATTCATTAACTTTGCATATTTCAGTCCTTTCTTTTAAAAATTTTATAAAAGTAATAATGAAAGCATAACATTTGAGATTTGGATAAGAATAAAAGAAATAAATAATTTATGCAGTTATTAAATATTCTTAATTTTTGTCTATAGTTGGCTGGTTGATTGATGACTGAAATTAATCAAATAATTATATTAATCATGTAATTAAAAAAAGTACAAAATAATTGAAAATGATCAAAAACAACAAAATAACCATGTAATTAAAATTAGTGAATTCATTAAGAATTTTTAATTAATTATATTAATCATTAAAAAGGTGCTAATATTGGTATTTAATCATTAACCGGTTATCCAAAAAACATGCTTTATTTAATAATCATTATGATCATTAATCATTATTTAACAGGTCTGGTATAACTGAATATGTACTCGCTTTAATGGTTTACAATATATCCAAATAAAAGTTATAATATTTGGTGTACTTTATTGTATTAAACTGTGGAAGTCAAGCATGAACAAATCGGTTTGTACTTTATACAAGTGTGGTAATTTTCGAACTAGTTCGGTTTCAGTCAGGAAATTCTTGTTGTAAACTAGCATTTTTCCTGACTAGTTTGGGTTTTCACTGCATGGTACATACGCGTACGAACAACATCGGAAATTTTGTCTACCTAACATTCGCGAACGCGAACGATCTGGACTTAACACATGAAAAAAAATGAAAAAAGCAACACCAGTTTACGTGGCGAACTTTGCTCAGTGAATAGCCTACTGGCTTTGGACGCTGGGGTCGTTGGATCGATTCCCAGTGAAGAAGTCTGATGAGGAGACGTGGTGATCTCCGAAATAGCAGCTATAACTTCTACCAAAATGTAAGTTGTTTTTTTCCACAAGAATTTTTATTAAAAACGGCCTCAAGCTCATTAAAGTATTTAGCTATATTTCTTAATGAAATTGTTAAATAAATATTTCTTAGCTTCTATTGCAGCAAGGGTTTTTGCTGCTTTCAATTTTGTAAAAATTACGAAAAAGTACGAAAAATGGTTCGGAACTAAAATTTCGGTGAATTTGCGAAAATAAGCGAAAAAGCAAATGCGCTACTGACGGTGGTTTGAGATCAATTCAATTTTATAGTTATATACATCGTTTTACAACAACATCATACAATTCATAGGGTTGCTAATGTAACAAAACCTGTCCTAAAGTATGTACAGTACGAGTTTGCTTTAAAATTCAGATGAAAAAGTATCAAAGTATAGGAGTATAAGAGTATAAGAGCTATACGTAATACATAAAGGCATTTTAACTAGAATTCAAATATAATTGCCATTTGCCCAAACAGCTTCATTTTCGTGTTCTATAAAATAAAATTATAGTTTAAAAAACTAAAACCTCCCTATTATAATTGTCATTCGTACTGTATCAGGTATGTAACTTGAGAATAGAACTCGCTGCATCTTTTAGGCGCATCAATATTACATAGTTACATCCCGAGCTAATAAAAGGAAGGTAATAATAAAACTGAAAGTAATTATCTTTTCCTCAATATTTTTCTTTTTGAGACTAGAAACGTGAGACAGCTTTCTGAATACCAGAATAAATGTCGATCACATGGAAAAGGATGCTAGTAGGTACATGCGCTCAGATGATTTGTGTATGTGTATTTAGAGAGATAGTGTAGGACTTGGGTGCTGACGGGAATTGTAGCGTAGTGGATGCTGCGGTACAACTGTATGCTAAATTAACTTTCTACACTGATTTGCAACATTTAGAAACAGCTAAGTTATATTCCCTTATTGCAGACGCGGAACTCAACAGCGATTTTTATAATGAATCTGTCTTCATCGGACTTACTTTTTGACTGTTTCAACCTCCCGTTGGCGGCTTCTACGTTTTTGAGGAGGTCTTGGATACACGGTGATCTACTTTGCAGGTTTTTCCCTCTAATGCGTTATGGTTTATTAGCTGTTTCGCTATTTACCGTATCACTCATTACTATTAACAGATACATTATCATCGCACATCCACGACAGTACTCCCGGTTTGAAAGCAAAAACTATTTTGAATTAATGCTACGTATGTACTGAACCTTGACTATTGTAATTCCAGAATCTACCAGCGTCGGTATTTGGCCTTAATGATTGCGGGAACATGGATAACTGCCTTTTCCATAATGATACCTACCTGGCGAGGTGTGTGGGGTAGATTCGGATTGGATACATCGATTGGATCCTGCTCTATTTTGCTTGATGACAATGGCCACACTCCAAAAGAATTTCTCTTCATTGCTGCATTTATGGTTCCTTGCATTTGCATTGTGGTTTGCTATGCACGAATTCTTTATCTCGTCCGAAAGGCAGCATTTAGACACCGCGAAGCTCCTGCTAAAAATATTTCTTTCCAAAATGAAATTGCCATTCCACCTCAACCCGACTCTGAAAAAAATCTTAATGACAATCAACCTATGAAAACCACTAATGTGGCAGAAATGCATGAGGAAATGAAACCATTTGATGTTTATGAAGAATTAGAATATATCGACGTAAGTGACTCATACGACAATGGGCCGGAGTTCGATGGAATAGACAGTGTGCAAAATCTTAATAAAGAAGACAATACAAATACTATTCATGTAAAAAATGTGAGTAAACCCTATTTGATATAAACCCACATCTAGATTATGTTACAAAAGCTGTATTAAAACATATGTCAGGTGGAGACCATGAATTTCTACTGTTAAAACATATCTGCCTACCGAATTTCTTACCCTCATCGTCTTAATATCAACTGGTATTTCGTAGTTTGACAACTAAATTTTCAGAGTTAAAGCAAAAAATAACAGATGTTAAGACACATTTAGGGACGGTTAATCAACGTCTGGTTAACACTAATCTGCGGTTAAACATCGCTATCGATATCTTCGATTCCAAGCATATAACATGGAGTCGGTAACGTCGATAACTATATTTAACCGGAGATTAGTGTTAACCAGGCATTGAGTAACCGGCCCTAAGGGCCGTTTTCACCATCTCTGCTTAAAACTAATCCCTAGTTAAACGCCATTTCCGACGTTACCGGCCCAATGTTATATGCATGTAGTTAGTGATGTAGGTAACGATGTTTAACTGTGGATTAGTGTTAACCAGAGTTGGGTGAAAACGGCCTTTAGTAGTTAGAAGGTGTGGGATAAGAATTTTAAAATATTTAGTAACACCAATGAAGAAAAATTTGCACATATCGCACACCATATTCAAAAGAACAGTAGTTTTCTTGTTGGAGAATATGTATATACCAATTCCAAAAAATATGATTAATTCCCACCAAAACAAGAACATGCTCAAAATATACCTACGCTTATTTGTGCCTGCAAATTTGGTCTCTATCGAGTATAGCCGACTAATTGGATTTTACTCATTTGTTCGTGTAAGAGGTTGAAAATAAATTTGAGCGAGTTGAGTATTCCCTGTAAGAGCAGGATTTTGGAATAGGCTTAGAGTACACCAAAAACTATGTGATTTTAAGTAGCTCAAACTTTGGTTCAAGTACATAATTTAACTTGTATTTATATTTAACATTGAATGTCTTAGGCTCGGACCCATTGTTGGCTTCTGTCATTGTAACCAATTTTAGGTAAAATAAAGAAATAAAAATTAAAACTTGCCCCAGCTGCGATTCGAACCGGGGTTCTCATTTCCTTTTTATACCTTTCATGAGCATGAAATGGTATTATAACTTTGGTCCGATGTTTGTAAGTACCAGAATAAGAAGAGATAGACCCATTAAAATGTATACTTAAATGATCAGAACGATGAGCTTAGTCGATTTAGCCATGTCCGTCTGTCCGTCTGTCTGTCTGTCTGTCTGTCCGTCTGTTTGTATGCAATCTAGTCTCTCAGTTTTCGAGATATCCGTATCAAATTTTGCAATACTTCCACCCATTAACAACAGAAAACTTAGAGTAAAAATTACTAAGATCAGGCCACTATAACCTATAGCTCTCATACAACTTATTGTTCAGATATACGATTTTTCGTTATAACTTCTCCATTTATGCAGCTAGGAACATGAAATTTTGCAATACTTCCACCCATTAACAACAGAAAACTTAGAGTAAAAATTACTAAGATCAGGCCACTATAACCTATAGCTCTCATACAACTTATTGTTCAGATATACGATTTTTCGTTATAACTCCTCCATTTCATTAGCTAGACACATGAAATTTTGCACTGTTGTCACTTATTATCAAAAGAATACTTTCAATGAAGAAGATCGGGTCGCTACAACCTATTTTTTTGTTATAACTACTCCATCTATGCAGCTAGAAACATGAAATTTCGCACTATTTTCACTCATTATCAACAGAAAGTTTACAGTAAAATTAACAAAGATCGGGTCACTATAACCTGTTTATTGCCCCCATACAACTGATTGTTCAGATATGGGGTTTTACTGTAAAACTCCTTTATTTGGGCAGCTAAAACCGATAAATTTCGTAAGCTATTTTTTAAATAATAATACAAAGTCTACTGAGAAAATCGTCAAAATCTATGCTGTATAATCTTAATTTCTTGTACCACTGATTGTTCAGATACCAGTTTTTGCGATATATGTATCTCCATTATGTAGGAAGCTAAACCCATTAAATTGTGTTACCGGTTTACGTACCGATCACACAGCAGTGGAAATTACTTAGATTGGTGCAATATAAGGTAAATCTTCCATACCTCTGATTGTTTAGATATGATTTTTTATATATGTATTTCCTCTATCTATGCCTGCTGTGAATATATAAAGTTATTCAAATGCAGTAATCTGTTAAAGTAAAATTTTCAGCTGCTCATGAAAGGCATAGCCGAAGACAGCGCTGCTCTTACTTGTTTCTGATTAATTTTTTTCCTTTTTGGCTTTTCAATTTATTTGATTTATAAAAACCTTATTGCTAAAAGTCGAACAGCATAACCTAGCAGATCTTTCAATAACCTTTCAAAAGACAGTAAAGAGCATGATACAAAAATACAAGGTAGTTTCATTTAAATTTTTTTTTGATTAAAAAACAGATTATTGACATTCTCCCTGATGTCAACATTTGGCATAGCGTTGCTACATCGGAAATTTGTAGGAGAGGGTAATTTCAAATCATATATTGGATATTATTTATAAAATGGTGGATTTCATAAATGCTGAATGAAGAGGCATATAACACAAAAACTTAGTAAGGAAAATACTTTGTTTTAAAAATTAATTCAAATATTTTGTCTAAAGTCATTGATAATATAGCTAAAGAAAAAAGTTTAAGAAATAAAATACTTTTGTTGGCATGTATCCATTTTATATATTTTAAGATAAGTTTCAAAGTTTTTTAATTTTATTTAAGTAATTTATTTTAGACAAAGTATTTTTTCAAGAAAAACATTGTTAATATCCATATATTTTATATTAAAAATTTGATATATAAATAGTAGCGTTTTGAATTAAAAACATTTTTAAAATTAATTAAAACTAAATCTTTAGTGATTGGCTATGCGAAAATTTTTTTCATTTTCTTATTAACTCTGCCAATTTTGTTTTGTTTTATTTTATTATTAAGATATCTAATCCGAAAAAATGTGTAGGACATAATAAAACCGCTTTAGAATTTTTTGATCTAAACTAATGTTCGTGTTTAACAATAAATTTTGCATGTAATTTAGGTCTGTGGTTAATAGATCCCCATTAATTTTGATAAAAATTGCATTAGCCTGCTCCAAAAAACTTAAAAACTCCGGTTTTGGTTTATAAAGCCCCCCCTCCGAAAGTAAATTAACATACGTAAAATGTTGACTATTTTCAGCAGATGTTCGCATCCAAATTGACTCAAGCCCATTTTTGAAATTATGTAGCCGCCAAAGTTTTCCAGGCCATCGAACTCAATATCACTCAGCGCGGTCATGCGATCCAAAAAATTATTGGCTTCTTCCTGTTCTTGAAGCTACAACAGATATGTATACGGATGTTTGCAATATAATCTATATTTAAAGTAATAAAAGTAGACGATTTTCTACCTCGATATGTTCTGCTGGTGACAAGGGAACATTGTTTATTTCTTTGAAGACATGATGTGTGAGTGTGAGTCCTCTAGGTTCAAAACTTACTAAAGCATCATTTGTTTTCTCCACATTGGCTTCTGAGCACAACATGTTTTCATTTCGACCTAAGACCCTGTTGGTTCAATTCCAAACAGATTTTCTTCACTTCTAAATAAATTCAAAGGAACAGGTTTTTTTTTGTGTTGCTTATAAGAAAGTTTAACACACATACCCCTCCAAATACGTGAGATATTTTTCCAAATTCTCTTCCGTTTCTTCTGATTCACTACTGAAAATTATGAATATCAAAATTTGGTCACATTTGCGATTATCATGCTTACTTTTTACACTTTGGCACTGCACTTCGGCTTAATCGTGCAGTCTTCTTGGCTAACGACATTTCATTCTTTGCAAAGTCACACTCCTTAACACCGCATGCCAGCAACCACTTCTCTCGAATGTGCGGAATAACGGGGAATTGGAAGAACCATACCTTTGTACCTCTGCATAAATGTCTTGTATACGGGCCTTGATTAAATAAACAGCTCATTTTTTCTTTTTATGTATTTTTTTTTTTTTAATTCAAACAAATTTTAATGTACAATATTTATTTTATTTAATGTTTTACATAAAAAAATATTTTTTTGTATCATGGGGGGTAGCACGGAATGTCATAATCTGCTTAATTGTCAGGTGGTTAATATGGCGACGAAAAAGTGACAATGGAACTACCTTCTTTTTTGTATCATGGTAAAGAGCTTTCTTTCAAGCTGGTAGCCAGAATTGACAATTATCTTACGCAAGACTTTTGTCTTTCGAAAGACTGTGGTGAGTTGAAAGACAGCTGCCAGAATTGCCCTGTTATTAGTTGAGAACGTATTCTGTTTCCAAGTTAGCGAAAAAGTTGTTTAGAACTCCTATGAAGTGGTAATGAAATGTACCACAAATGTTAAGTGTAACGTAGCCAGTGAAATACTAAACAAGTGTTTTTTCCGATACTTAAGTGTATTTTCTAAAGCATATATAACATGTTTCCCTAGTATTGTCGATATCATATTGATAGAGTCTGACCGATTAATCGGCATCGGCTAATATCGGCCGGTTTTGGCCGATTCTTTTTACTTTTTCCGCAATTTTAACAAATGTTCATCGAAATTTGAAACTGTTCAATCACATTTTTTAGAATTATTTTGAGTACGCAATTTTTTTAATTTAGTAATACAAAGTGCAAGTTTAAAGTAGCTAGGTAAGTGTTGATTTTTAACAATTTTTTGTTCACACATTTTCTTCTAAAGAAGTATGTTCGAAAATTTTTTTGTATGGAGAAAATCCACAACTCCTTCCACAAAAAAAATTCCAAAAATCAATAGAAAGTCCTAGTTACATAAACTTTGCCCTTCTTTAAAATAAAATTGAATGGGCTACAAAACTGTTCAAAGTGTTCAAAGAAAACGTTTGATATTTTTACTAGCATGGTAAATAATAAACGTAAGCATTAAAATATAAAAATAAGAAACATTAAATAAACGTAAGGGAAATAGCCAAAGAATGCTAAAATAGCGCGTTCCTGTAA